ACTATGTAGGTTTTGTTTCAAACCACAAAATAATATCTAGGTTCAATATCAAATTACGAGGTCACTCAACTACTGCCCCAAACTAGTTTGTACACAGAGGATTGTAACTCAATAAATTAACAAAGAAAAGAAAAACAATAAATAAATTATAGAATTAATTGAGATTCAGGCAAGGTAGGAATATGTTAACGCTGGTCATTATATTCAAGGAAAAAAAGACTTTTCTGTACTGTAAAAAGTGGAATGAACCACCTAATGAAATAAAAATTACCTTTTAAAATATGTCAGTTTATTCACTCTAAAAATAAAACAATATTACTACATAAATATATTTTATTGACCCTCTTGCTTGGTGTAATATATGTGTGTCAATGTATTCTTTTTAAATATTGTTAATCAATACTATATATTGTATATATTTTTATGTTTAACACTTTGAAAATCAGTGTGACAGTATTGAAAGTGCTTAAAACAAATAAATAAATAAATTTTCATGTTTTAAAAAAATTTATCTTTATCATCAATAGCAAAATACTATGTGATGTCTGAAACTGCATTTTTTTTAAAAACAAAAACCAAAGAAACCCCATCATGTTAAAAAAAAAATTAATTGCAGTTAAAAATAGGTAAATGAAACTTATTCATCTCTAAGGGTTTGAACAACACTGGTGTGTAAAAATGCTGAGTAATTTGTTTTGATAACACAATGGAATTATGATATTATTATATTATCATTATTGTGGTTTTACAGAGAATTGATCAAAACAGGTGCAAGTAGGACTTTAAGAAAGCCTCCCATTGGTCAGCTTTTAAAACGGAAGAAGATAGAATTACAAAAAAAAGGATGTGAGGATGAAACTTAAGAAATGAAAATCAAGAACCAGGAGAAAATTGGTAAACAAGGCATTCTTGAAAATAATTTTCACAGAAACTGTACATTTCATGGAAATAAAAAAAAACTTAAATTTGGTGTAAAACATCGGTCCTAATTTATTATTATTAATAATCATTAGTGGATTCAACACTAAAAAAGAAATGTTGATTTCTAGATGGCCGGAAATGAGCTTTCCCAACTTCTGAGGAGTCTTTTAATGACTTAAATTCTTCAAAACCCAAGGGTTTTCCCCCTCTTGAAAAAGGTCAGGCTTATCTCATGCTTATTTAAGCCTAGCGAAAAAAAATCAGACATAGGAAATACATCATATTCCAACAATATTGAGTTGTTAGATATATGTAGCCTTTCTTCCATGGATCGATGAACTGATAGGCCTGAAGAACGTACTTTGTACATAACTTATTGTATTACGTCAAACCAAAAACAGTGTGTTAATTTAATTGAAGACTAGTTGGGCTAAGCCTAGGTTGTCTGATCTGCCAAACTAGGCCTAGGTAGGTTAGCATGCCTTTTGTAAGCCAGGACCCAGTAGTATTTTTCTACGTTTCTTCACATAGGGAGGTTCATTTTTCTCCGTTTCTTCACCTGAATCAGCCACTGCATCATCATCATCATCATTAGCATCATCTTTTTCATATTGTCCTCACAATATCATCATTTTCCTCCTCATTCTTTTCAAATTCAACATCAATTACAACATCATTCCATCTCCATCATCATCATAATAAAAAATTTCCTCCTCATCTTCATTGTCTTTTTTTCTAATCATTCTATAATTCTTATCATCATTGTCATCATTATTACCATTGCATGTACTACTATCATTAAGTTTGAGGTCATATTGTGACATACAAAGAATAATGCCTAAGTGTACAGTGGATGAAATATTAGTTTCGTACAGTAGAGTAGCCAGTGGGATGACCTATTAATGGGAGAACAAACGATAATGGTTAGGGAGTTTATGTAGTGGCGTTAAATCACCACACCACTTGCAGTTGGCAATATCAACTAACAGAAGTTGATCAAATTGCTGCCAACAAAAACACACACACACAGACATATCCCCTCCACTGGCCGCCTCTATCAATAACACTTTGTAATTACTCAGCTAGTATACAGCAACAAGTTTATGTTTGGTCATAACATTGCAGCAGAAGCAACAACCAGCAAACTACTTTGCAATGTCAGTGTGTTGTATACCAATAACAATAATACTGCACACGCACAATGCTACACCTTCAGTTCCCAGGTGCATCTTAATTATAAATATCCTTTTCCAAAAAAATAACTTAAAATTGTGTATACAGTAAGTACCAATTTCCCATTTTTAGTGAACTGCATGTATACCAACACCATCATTTGGGAAATTTTTCCACTTTAACTTATTCCCAGAAAATTTTGTAAAAAAATATTAACTACTTCTATATAGTATAAATTAACCTAATTCCTCAAATAATTTTTTTTTTCTCACACATTTTCAATACAGTAGTATACTTATTACTGTGTTAGATCCAATTGTACTTTATACTAGATTAATAATATACTACTATATTTTTTTTAGCACAATCTTATTTATTATAAAAAAAAACAAAACAATGAGACACTTTAGAATATATACACCTGACTAAAGTACTCAAAAACTGTAGGGCCTACTAATACAAGACGTTCATGAAATACAATTATACGAAGATAAAATCATGAAGACAGAGTAAAAGTAAAATATAGACCTGTAATTTTGAGATCTGAGATACCACACGTCGACTATATTGCAGAATCTAATTTTAGCCAGAAAGGGCATGCACCCCACTAGCCTAAGAAATAAACGTACACTACATGTCATATGTCATTAACATTCTAAACAAATTGAAAATACTTTTATAGAGTTGAAATGGTTTAAATAAACATAGAAATCCAGAACTACAGCAGTCATTTTCTGTGCACTGAACCGTGGAAATCCTTACTTAATCTTGGTTCCAGGTTCAAGTCCATCACAGCTCCAGTAAAGGGGTTCAAATGCAAAGACCCCACTGAAAATTACTTTCGTGGGTTATCCATTGTGAGTTTCAGATTGAGGAAATCCAAATATAATATACATTCATTACAAAACCATGAAATCTACAATGATAAAATAGCATTAAGTACAAAATATACAACAATACAGGAGTCTCCTGCAAGGTGAGGGAAATTTGGGATCCTGGACACATATCTGCACAAAAGGAACTAAAAACATTCTTCAGTTCTAAATATATCTGATTCTGACAGCCCACTCATAAAATAGACCCCCCTCCCCCTTCCTTTGGGACACCCCCAGAGACACCAATATCAAGGAGACACTTTTTTTTGGCTGTGAAGTGAAGGAAATGTATCTTTTAACACTACGCCAAACCTTATTATTCAGGGGACACCCCTATTAAAAGTAAAACCGACACTTTTTTTGGCTATGAAGTAAAGGAAATCATTTAACACTGTACTTAAAATTTGAAACAATACATTCTTTTGCATTGGTTATCTCAATTCATGATTGTTTACTAACTAACTTCACCAGTAAAAGTCTACATTAACCCATCACAATGTAGATCCCTACCAACTACAGTACTTTAACTCCCTCATTTAGGCTCCACCTGTTGTCTTAAATCAAATATTATTACCTACTAAAGGTACTACACATGATATTATTCTACAATTGAATTATTCTAACAAGGGAGGTCTAGTGCCATCTCACCCTACCACACAACAGTTAAGCAAACTACCAAGCTACCAGATAAGTATGTCTTCACAATTTATTGGTTGATGAATAATAATTAAAGCATACTAAAGGTAATAAAATGTCCATTTGTTCTCAATTCTTTCACTAATCATGACCTTTGACCATTTTTAAATTGGTGCACTATAAATTTAAGATTTCTGATGAAGTCTAGATAATGATAATGATAGCTCATGAGATGACCATGATGAAATGATTATCTTTTAATGACAACATCGCTGATGAGAAGATCATGATGAAGAGCAGGAGATGAGATGATGATCTTTAAAATGATAACATCACTGATCATGATGAAGAGATGAGATGATAAACTTTATAATGATAACATCATTGATCAAATGATTATCTTTTAATGATAACATCGCTGATGAGAAGATCATGATGAAGAGCAGGAGATGAGATGATGATCTTTTAATGATAACATCGCTAAAGGGATGATCATGATGAAGAGCAGGAGATGAGATGATGATCTTTAAAATGATAACATCACTGATGAGGTGATCAGGATGAAGAGATGAGATGATAATCTTTATAATGATAACATCATTGATGAGATGATCATCTTTATAATGATAACATTGTTGATGAGATGATAATCTTTATAATGATAACATCATTGATGAGATGATATCTTTACAATGATAACATTGTTGATGAGATGATGATCTTTATAATGATAACATTGTTGATGAGATGATCATGATGAAAAGCAGGAGATGGAATGATGATCTTTATAATAACATTGTTGATGAGGTGATCATGATGAAGAGAAGAGATGATGATGGTGATGACCATTGTGATGATAACAATCAATGATGATAATGAATATGATAATGCTACCAATGATGAGCACGAAAAGGAGTGATGATTAAAAATGAAATGATAATGATGCTTTGTTGCAGATGACAAGGATAATGAGGATGATGATAATGCTGCTATTGGCAAGGAGGAAAATGATGATAATAATGATGATAAGGAGCAAGAGTAATGATTAAAATGATAAGGAAATGATGGTGGTTGTTGATGTTGACGATGACAAGGACACTGAGGATGAAGAAGAGAACGCAGGAGGGGAAAGTGATGGGAAGGCATGATGATGAGCAGAAGGAACAAGAGGTGATGATATAATTAAAATTATGATATAAAGAGATGATGATGTCTGTTAAAATGAAGAGGAAAATGAGGATGATGATGGAGCATTAACACTTCATAACAAAACAAGCTTAGACCTACTTCTTTAATGTCCATCATACAAATTTAAACCACATACAACAACTAAAACAACCTGACAAACATGCAATGAGTAGTTAAGTACATTAGTTGAAAGAGATTTGTACATACGTCTTGGATTCTCCTCAGTAATGGACTCCAAGAAATCTTGCATCGTCATATAGATTTGTCCATCATATTCACATGATGCAAATGAACGAAAGCGGTCTTCTTTATTAGATGTATTGAAGGAATCATCATCCTATGAAGAAAAAAAAAGACAGAATAAAGTTGTTATTTGATAGTAAACTTAAAAAGACAGAGAATGTAAGCTACACTCTGTAGGAATGCTGTGTGCTCAGTGTAACAATAGAAAGAAGCAATGTTAATGGCTTTAAAATTGACTTAATGACAAAATAAAAGAAATTAAAATATGATTGTTCAAATAAGTGTTTTAACATTCTACACTTTCTATCCAACTGGAGATACCTCAAGATTTTATGCCTGTGCCTTTGGAGAATTTACTAGCAAACCATAGTGGTGGGGTCCGAATTTTTTCGATGTCCAATTTCTTTGGCAGGAAGGAAGATTTCCCCTGAAATAAGTGGGTAGGGGCAGGGCAGTCCAGAACCCTTTAAAGGGGGACCAGGACACAAAGGCTCAGAAAACTTAATATAGGAGTCTGAAAGGCTTATTTTTTGCCATTCATTTTTCTCTCCCCACCCATCTGCCACTGGCAAACCATTAGGAGATTGCTTGGTAATTGAACTTGGGTGCATATTTTAAAAATTTAAAGTTCCAAGCAACATAATTCAACATCAATATAGGTCACAAAAGGCTTATTTATCTATTGACAGAAATAATGGATTTTTTATAGTTAATTATACACCTTTCACTTGGTAACTATAAGTCCTTCACAAGGAACAGTAAGTTACATAAGTTAACTAAATAAATATTCCACATTATTTAAGTTAAGTAAACAAATGTTTTAATTTCCTTTAACAAAAGTGTGATTCAGAGCTTGAATCAACGATCATCTTCAACAATAAATTATATTCACAAACTTTAGAATTCTCAACTACATTCTAACCCAAAAAGTATCACAGCAGAATGAGATTTCTATCCATGAATGTTTCCATGACAAGCTGTCATTATCATTACTTAAAATGAACTTAGATTAAGTTGGAACCTTAGGCATGCCTCATGTGACCAGGGCCAACACACCTATGGTGTCTTATAAATGAATTTAATTGTTTGAGATTAGCCAAACTGTGCTTAACCCATTTTTACCCACCTCTGGCACATCCCCCTGACAAAACTCTCCAGCACACATCAAATCGCAGTCAACTATGCTATTTTAATGCCACAAAGTTCAGATGGAAATTAATAACCTATACTGATCACACACATGCATCTAGGCCAGACTTTTTTTATATCTTGTTTTGCGAACTCATTTTTCTTAAAAGATCGTAAAAAGAGGGTGGAAAAAGAAAAAAAAATTAATTTTGTTGGCATATTTAACAAATATTTTTGCCAAAATCATCCAGATGAAGAAGAAAATAAAAATAAAATTTTATTGGTGAATGTAAACAGTGGAGTAATGGGATGGTTAAATGCTTTTAATTTTTCGGAGATTTCAAGTCAGCAGCTGGCTTAATAAAAATAAAGACTAGAAATTGCAAATTGCAAGTGAAGTGCTGCGAAGTACAACTGCATAAAATGTTCTTCAAACAAAATTATTTATGCGAGTCAAGTGAAAATAATGAATAATAAAAATATAACAAATGATATGAGCCTGACCCATTGTCTATATATTATTAGAAAAGCGTTGGTACAATAGTGTTTTCTGCAGTGACATCTCTCTGCTGGCGATTGCTCGCTGCTGCTGGCGATGACTCGCTGCTGGCGAATCGATCTGCGCATGTGTATAAAATGGTATTTATTTCCGCAAACACTATGCCAGTCTACAACAAGCGTCGTCTAAATGTAATAATTAGCACATTGAAATAGGCTAGTAAATAAGTTTAACTGGGTTCGTAAATAATATTGTCCTCAAAATATTGTGGCTGAGACATGAGCCGATTAAACGTAGAAATAGGAAACCTAGAACACATCTAGATGTGTATAAGAGACAGGTCGCGGCATGCCGACGTTGGTACGAGTAGGTTAGTCTACAAACGTCGCCTAAAGTAATTGATTTTACCCGGCAGAACGAAAGAAGCAAACTCCGCTTTTCAGTTGTCTCAGGCGATTGATTTTTGACAAACAATGGCCTTTCAGAGGTCAAATTGCTGTCAAGAATATGAATTGGCTGCTTCGCAGCAATAAACTTCTTTTTTACCCCTGAAATTTCAATTTTTTCATTTCAGCGGGTGGGCTTATTGGCCAAAAATAAATTTTATTTTTATTAGAAATTATCATTATTGGGGAGCAGCGGGTTTGCTTAACAAGGTATCAAAAAAGTCTGGCCCTAGCTTGCATGCTTATCATTTCATAGTTGCAAGTTTGTGAATGCATAATTTGGTATAAAATTGGTGTGGGAAGTATGTGTGAAAGTATCTACTGTACACATCAAATTATAACCAGAAATTAGTCTCATACTTCAACAATAGAATAATACTATACAAAATTAAAATTCCCTTTTAATTTTCTTTTTATCTCCAATAAGGAGTTCTAAAAAACACTCTATTAATACTATTGCCTCTTGAGGCTGATTGATTAATAGTTGAAAATAAAATACCTTTTTTAGATAAATAGTTGATTGACTAAGATATCTAATTTAGATCTACTGCCTCTATTATACCACCCTCATCAGAGTTTTCAAGATTATGAGAACTTGTTTAAATTTAATTCTAAGATAATTTTTTTTTCAAACCTGAGTGAGAGTATTGTGAGTACAAAAGCTTGTATATCAAAGAATGTAAAACTAATCTTTAACATGTAAATGTTAATTATTTTTTCAAACTTCAATATTAAAGTAACAAATCAACATATACATGTTATCTTCATTTCAAATGAATTTGATCAACGTATTCTTTAACATACTGCTTGTTGATATTTCTAAATACTGTATTCTACAAGGTTTTACACTCACTTATGGAACGAGTTATTCTTCTTCACTTGGCCTCTAATCAAACTGCATTATGCCAAAAAAATAAACGTATTTGAGGGGAAATAATTAAACCTTGAATAAAACTTGTTTTTCATCTGAATTTATTTAAAGAGGTGAAGGCCTCTACTAAAAGACAAGGATGTTTGCATTTTATGAGGTGTTCTGGCTTTAAAAAAAAAAAAAAACTAAACTAAAAAAAATTAAAAGATTGCAAATATTACAATAAGCAAGTTACAAGAAACATTGTTTTTTGAGTCTAATATCAAAGCAAAATACAAGAGAAAACAATTTGTAAATATGTAAAATTATACATTTAAACTACCAAACATAAACAAGAAATGATAAAAACTATCATTTTGCTGGTGCATTGATATTAAAAAAAAAACATGATTGAGATAATACAAACATATAAACAATATCTACTAACTATTTAATAAACAGAATGAAAAATATATATATTTTTTTTCTCTTTTTTTTTAATTTCAATTTTTTTTACAGTACCATAGAAGACATGCACACGAGGGTGATAAACTAATAATTTTTGTTATTTATTCTAACATCCAACATTTTTTACCTGTAAAATAAAAACACTTTTACAGCTCTACTGCTAGTTCTCCAGAATCCAGGCTGAGAAATAATGCAGGATATTTTGCAAGAGGACAGAAGTAGGACATGGAAAACAGCTCTAGAGACCCAGGTGTTAAATCACAAAATCAACAAACACTTAGGTACATGCTATGGAGGCCTCCTAGTAGTAGCTTAAACTAGAACACTCATAATACGGACTAAGAATGAGCTAAAGTGGTGTTTTAAGAGTGCACTTTTAAGAGTGCACTTTGTGACCTCTTCCTATGTTGTTTGTTGTTTCACACTATACTACAGATTACATCACTTAAAGTAGAAAATAATTGTTACTTTTAACATCACTTGATTACGAATTAAACAATTCTAAACAAATAAGTTGCAAACAAAAGTGTTTACTGGCGATGCAAGTCTCGGAAACATAGGCCTAGAGCATGGTTGTTTGAAAAAATATAAACCACTAAAAATGCCATTTTGCCCTTGAAGCCTGGGAAATACACATTATTCAGCAGTTTTGTTTTTTCAAGAGCCTTTGACAGATTTTATTTAAGTTCTAATTTATACCATGACTGCATGATCCATTTAAACTATACTTTTAAAATAAATTTATTTTACTTATTTATTTCAATAAATAATGTACGACTGTACCTAGTGGGGGTAAGGTGGGAGAAATTTTTCCCTCATTTCATCCAAAGCAACATGAGGTTATAGTGACAGCTTTTAGTCGTCTAAAAGAACGTTGTTTCCACCCACAAAAATAAAAAATAAAACCTCTTTCCTCAAATCTGACTGGAGGCTCCTGGTTTGGGCCTCTCTGTCCGGCATATTGGACCACAAAATTCTGGAGCAACTACTGACTATACTGTTTCACAATTCAAAGGTGTTATTGAATAAGCACATAAAAACAGCATCACTACCCAAGGCATAATGGTTTTAACAGTTAAAAGATTTTGATAAAGATTTTTGAAGCTCAATTAATTCAGACACAGAAGTGATTGTTGACTGTAATTTTATTTTAAAATATCACACATCAGCAATTTAGAAGTTGTCATGGTAATATTAATGAGTGAGCTAGACTGGCGCTTTCAACAGCGCAGTACTGATTTGGGAAGAAAACATTTATCAAAATACAAACAGAAAAATACTCATATAGGTCTCCCTCTATAATTAAGAAACATCTTTCTGTGGCCCCCATAAGAACATCTATCTTTTACCTTCACAATAATATATTGTTAAGTTAAAGACCAAAATAGCTAATGACCTAGAAAGCCAGGCTTCTGATGGGAAAAATGTTTTGATATGTTGTAGGACTGATTTTCCTGTGACACAAAAAGGGTGTTTGACGAAGCATATTGTAAACAGTTCTTTTTCCACCTAGTTTTTAAATAATCAAAAATCTGTATCTCATTACCTGTTACCGATTTTTTTGTGTGTCAAACACACTTTTTATGTCTTAGAAAAATCACGTACTATACAACATATCACAGTACACATCATGCAATAATGCCATTATGTACTGTAGTCCACATCATGCAATAATACCATTATGTAGTCCACATCATGC